GAGCTTGCTTGCCTTGCTGGGATCACCTCCAAACACAGCAATGTTCCGCTGGACCCAAAGAAGAGCCGCTTGCTGGTCCAAGATCCCATAATTCCCTGCAGCTGAGGAGTGAGGATCTTTGCCCGACACCAGGAATCCAAATGCACCTTCAATCATGCATCGGTTCACGTGATCAGCCAGAGATAATTGACCAAGGCAAGATAGTCATTTCCTTAAAAATTACTGTTCACATACCACTGGTCTTGTTTCCAGCCCAGTAGGAAAGTAGATTAATTACCAACAGACTTTGCCAGTTAAAATAAAGACACGCACGCATTATACAGCCTCCAGCTGTCTGGTGCATACAGACACACACATAGGAACACCATTATCAAGTGATTCCATGAGATTCCTGCTTGTTGCATTCACCAGGACAACTCTACTGCTAAAGTTTGTCTTTTCTTTACCCCTGCATAGACAGTACCATTTGAAAAAGGTAATAAATGGACATAATAATGCAACATGCACAGGTAAGATCCCCTTTTCTCTATGCAAATACATTGTTTATTACGCCAGAACAGGTCCGTTTTAAAGTAAAATACTACAAAAAGCTCTTACCCAGTCGGTAGTCCACGTTTACAACAACAGTGCGGGTAAAGTTACTGATGAAGCGTCCGTCGTACAGCGGCTTGGAAGCAGAACCTGCGATGAAATCCCCACCATGGATCCACACCATGACAGGCAGGGGCTTCTGCAGCGGGGAGCTGAAGTTCACGTCCAGCGGTACGAAGATGTTGAGGTAGAGACAGTCCTCGCTGACCTTTTTGAGACATTAGTGGAGGCAGGTCATTCAGATTTTGTTCACTAAAATGAGTTTTGTCATTTAGCTCTAGCCTTAAAGTTCCTCTATCGCCACCCATCCCTCCACCACTGCAGATCGAGCACACCAGCTCTTCTACGACTGTAGTCAAACAATTTAACCTACTCTGTGCTACAAAATGGCAAGTTGTAATATTGGAGTACTTCGGCTTTACGCATTTAAAACAGAAACTGATTCTGAAGAAAAGTAAGGATACAGAAAGTCCTATACTGCAAAGTGATAGAACTGGTCCCTTAGGTTTGGAGCCTTGGAAGTCTAAATCTGTATCATCAGTACACTGCAATATTAAGGTTCAAATGCTCAGGCGGGGCTTCGACTGCTTATTTTGCTCATGATATGTCGTCCAGCATATAAAAACACCCTATCCACGTGTTAACAAGGCAAAAAAAAGAAAAGAAAAGAAAAGATTTTCACAAGAGTGGGTCTTAAAATTTATGGTTTTGTTGGGCAGGTTTTTTCTAGTACGATGTCAGTGTCCATATTAAAGTCTCTGGGACTGGACTGGAGCTTGATGGAAAAATGAAGTAAGGGGAGCATAAAGCACTATTGCAATTAAAAACATCAGAATCACAGCTAACAACTATTGATAGCTATGAGGCTAGCCTGCTAAGCTAGCATCATACATCTAGTCAGTAGTTGGTTAAAAATGTAATTTAAGGCTTTTAAGGTGATATATACCAGTATTCCTTGTTTGACAAGAACATTTTTCACTTACTTGCCTATACAACACTGTCCCCACTGCTGTCTTTCTTAGCCCAAAGTAACTAAAGGTACTTTCACAACCTCCAGTCCTGAAAAATTAAGCCAAAGCACATGTGCCAAAAACTGCAGGTCCTAAAATGACCACTTGATGCTGGCTCCAAAGACGAGTCCGTCCCCGTAGACTCCATGTTAACATGTCCAATGTTAATGCGAAGATACTATTACTATTACTATTACTATTACAAACTAATATTCGCATGAGCAAAGCATGCAAAATGTTAAGCTGTTGGCTACAAGAGTCTTCGGCCTGGCGTCTAAAGACCCAGTGGATAACTTTAATTTTTGATGGCAATGTCATTAGGGACAATTCTTAG